AACATGAACCTACTTTCAACCTATTTATTATACTTTTTTTTTCTTCTTTTTTGTTACCAAGTCAAGCTCCTATGTTTGTGTGTTCCATGTGTGTTCTAAGTGTTTGTGTTTTTTCTGTTTTGTTTGTTTCTGTTTCTGTTTCTGTTTTTTTTTTTTGGATTAATCTCTTGATCCAGCGAGACAAGCAGGAGAATGCCCCCCCCTAAGTCTAACTGTGACGAGCTCGACTATCATTATCTTACATACATCCTCAGTTAATCGATTCCTCGACAGTCCAAACCAATCTGGTTTTTTTTTGTTCCCTTGCTTGGTTCACAAATACATAAATACTTACTTATTCATGTCGGCTCATCTCGACCGTGCCGGGTTCATACATCTTCTTCTTACTTCTTACTTCTTCATGGACACTGGCACTCAAAAAAAGAACGATAATGTGACTAAATCCATAACCCATGATATACTCTCCTATTCATACTCTGTTTTTTTCCATCAGTTTGTTTGTTATATCGTTGATATTAATAATATGAATACAATACCTGTGTGTTATACAAAATCAACAAAAATGATACAAACGTGGCAAATTGATTGCAGCGAGTGAACCTATCCGGCGCTTCTGATCAGGAAAGAATCGAAGGAATCCAGGAGATTAGATCCGGTCGATGGTGGGCAGTGAATTGATCAAGTCAGGGCTTGCTTGCTTCCATACTCCGCATGGTTTTGATCGAATATTGGTCTCACTAGAGGATGCTGGGCTTGGTGAGCCATGGTGTGATTGCCAGGTGGTGATGGAGGTGGCCTGGGCTGATCATCATGGGGATCGTGGGTTCGCCGGCGAGAGTGTGTGTTGAGGAATTATTGAAGAAAGCCAGTCGGCCGATCCAACACTTCCACTGAGAATGCAAGCCCGAGTCTTGGGCCTTGGCTGAATGCCCGACGCAGCTCTACCACATCCGTCAGCAGCTTCTTCGGAATTCTTGCAGGCCTGTCAAGTCTCCGCCTATGTACAATACATAACAAATTGTGATCTCAGCGTGAGAATCAAAGTACTGGTGATGATGGCAGCGAGCGTCGGGGTTAACACAGGTTACTCTTCGCCCGCCTGGCAACCAACCAGCAACACACTCAAAGTGCTTGGAGAACCAGCCGGGATTCTTGACGACCATCGTTGAGGATCGGAACGACCGGAGCCATTGGCTCATTCAACGTGAGGGGGACAACAGACCAATCGAGCCATCATTCACTCATCCGAATATAATCACATTGTAGACAAGGAGGAGGAGGAAAAAAAAAACCATAGTGGTCGCTTATATATATTTCGTCTTGAAGAAGCTTCACCCCTCGGCTGTTCCAAGTTGCCAAAAGAGCGACAATGCCAGCGACGATGGTGATGATCGATGGACGCCAGTCTCACGAAGAACGGAGGACGTCAGACGAGCGATTCGTGCTCGAAGACGACGAAGCTGAGAATGACAAGCTGGAGCTCACCAATCTGATCCCATCGCCGGCCGTCCCTTCGAAATTCCTCTTGGCAGAAGAAGAAGGAGAAACTCCAGCCGGTCCATGGGGCTTATGGGGATTCTACAGTTATTCGTTCGCCTCTGAGGTCAGCATCTCGGCTTTCTTCTGTACCTGTTTTCGGACAGAGAGACAGTTGGACCCCCACTGATGTGATCTTAACTGGGCCTACAATTATTCAGGTCTTTGCGATCGTCTCAGCCGGGTTGTTTATGCGTGAGTCTCTCAAGCTTCTTTGGACTCTGTCTTACTTGACAGTTTTTGCTAACTTGAGAGAATTCTCGGCCGTTTAAATATAATACAGCCATTACACTCGAACAACTTGCACGGGACAACGGCTATGCGTTTCCGGACCACCAGGCCGCCTGTTCGGGCTCGCTCAAAGCCACCCCGGCCAACCAGGCTTCGCCGTCAGATTTCGGTAGTCTTAGTGGGTGTGAGGTCAAATTGCTGGGCAATTGGATCGATACCGCCTCCTTTCCTCTCTATGTCTTCAGTATCAGTGTGGCTATTCAGGCATTCGTCGTCGCAAGCTTGGGCGACGCCGCGGATAATCGTTGAGTGTTCTACATTGATCACTGCTTCCCACTTTTTTGTTTCCCGAGCTTCATTTATCAATCAAACCCAGACTGACATTTGCCTCTAAATTTTTACGCGTCGCCAACAGCCATCATGCGCAAGTTCCTCTTGATCCTGTTTGCCGGCATCGGAAGTCTCTCCGGGATCTTTTTTTTCTTCTTGGACAGCGCATCATCTCTTTGGTCACTGACTGCCATCTTGGCCATCCTGGCAAACGTTGCACTCGGCGTCAGTGGGGTGTGTTTGAACAGCTTTGTGAGTCCAAGCAAAGGGAAATTTCTATCCATGAGACACTTGAGCTAAATCTCCCTGAGAATCAAACAGATACCCAATCTGGCTAAAGCCACACCAAAAGTCCTGGAGGCTCAACGAGAGCTCATCCGTCACCCTCTATCATCATTGGCTCAAGACGAACATTACAAGACACTCATCTCCACCGCCACCGCCAACATCTCTTCCAACGGCATCGCACTCGGCTGTGGCTCGGGAATCATTGCCCTCTGTCTGTCTTTGATCGTCATCATTTCCCACGATGGTAACACTGATAGTCTGAGGTGGGTCATCGGCCTCAGCGGGATCTGGTGGGCATTCTTCAGCATCCGTAAGTCTCAACAGGTTCTGTAAATACTCGATCTTCAGGGGGCTCAATTTATCCAATCATCTCTATTTTGTAGCTGCTGTCTTTTTACTGCCTCCTCGTCGCTCAGCCGGCCCGTCTGGGATCGTCAACCCGTTCAATCCTGCAAAGAGTATTGCGCGCTATCTGAGCATGTTGAAGGAATACAAGCAGCTCAAAAACACCATCAGGTTTTTGATGGCCTGGTTCTTCCTGAGCGATGGTGAGAGTCGATCTCCGTACTTTTTCCTTCCAAGCTGTGATCATCACACACACACACACGTTCATCAATCGGATTCTTACGGGCTGACTTTTGGGAATCTGTTCAGCGTTTTCAACTCTGACGTCGACGGCGGTTCTGTTTGCGAAGACGACCCTAGAGATGACATCTTCGCATCTGATCTTGATCGGCGTGATTGTGCCGACGACTGGGATCATCGGCGCGTTGATCGCCCCCAGGATCCAACAGAAGCTCCAGTATTGCTCCGGCCTCAACGGCAGTCTCAAGATGTTCAAGCTCCTCATCGGCTTCAGTTGTCTTGTGCCCGGATACGTCTCCATCACTCTGGTCTTCGGGATCCCCGTCCTAACTACTGAGGCCGAGATGTTCGTCCTGGCCGGCGTCTTTGGTCCGTGTTTTTTTTTGTTTTGTCTTAACATCAGATCCTGTTCTTGTCACCTGACCTAATATCCCTTCCTTATGTATCCATTTTTTTAGGTCTCTTTTACGGAGCTTTTCAATCGTACGCTAGGTCGGTCTATTCAGAATTGATCCCTCCAGGACACGAAGCGAAATGGTATGCGCTCTATAGCATCACGGACAAGTACGCGCATTCGAATCATCAATGTTCCTGCAAGAACAAAAACCTGAATGATTCGTTCTTGTTATCTCATCACAGATCTTCCAGCTTTTTTGGCCCCTTGGTCGTTGGTCTGATATCCGGTACGTACATGCATATCCCGCCAAGCCCTCCCTACTAGTACTGCAGCGTTTGTTTTGAGGAAACTTGTACTGACCAACTGTCCAACTTTAATCCCCCTTCCCCCACGTTTTTTTTTGACAGATTATACCCATAACATTAGATTTGGGTTTCTCTTTATACTGCTCGTCTTAATCCTATCATTCCCTATCCTCAACCATGTTGATGTGCCCAGTGGGAAGCTCAAGGCGGAAGAATACAGCAGAACCGCAAAGCAGTAATCGAAAGTAATCTGTCCATCTATTTAATTCTATCCAAATCGTCTACTTTATCACTTAATATCTTTCCATCATATCTCTCGCATCGGAAAATTCTCTTGTTGTTGTACCACTACATATTTCTCGGATTTTGTCTTCTCTTTTTGTGTTGCATATTTATGTAGTCCGGTTGTTTCTTTTTTCTCGTCTTGCTTGGCTACATGGGTTAGGTTGATGTATGCGGATGTGAATTTGTAATTTAAAATTTTGCATTTTTAATTTGAGCTTGCCCCCCCCCCGCCCCGCCCGGCCCCCGGGGGGTTTTTGATCAGCCGCCCTGTCCTGGCGAACGGCCAATGAGGGCGAGACTCGGCAGGTGAAGACTCGGGAGCTGGGAAGTTTTTGAGCCAGAATGTTGGACATCAACTTGCTACTGAGGATCAGACCATCAGACCGCTCACTCGATCTCCCAGACTGTTCGCGAGGAGATGGGGAGCGGAGCGCTCCCGAGGAGCCGCCGGAAGAAGGCCCGCAGAGTCAGGAACGGATTCGGAGGCTGACGGAGACGATCTTGGCGGTCGACCGGCCGAGGATGGTTTCCGGGACACTCGCCGAGGACGCTTCCTCGGGCAAGATCCCTGAGTTCAAGTTCATCCACCTCTTCCGATCCTCCAGTCACTCCCCTCATGACCGCCAGCACTGGTTTCAATGGCTCGACCACATCAACAACATCGATCAACATCTGGATAAGATCACCCTCGATTCCATCCCTAATGACCTCCTTCAGGCTGAGCAATGGTCAAGTCAACGTATCCTTCAAAAACCTGAACCCCTACCACTAAATCGAGATTCGAGCGGCTCGTTTCATCCAACAGTGCGTGTTTCTACTCCATCCAACAGCTCAGATTTTGTTTACCAACCCATGATTATCTAACTGCATTTTCCGTCTTCCAGCATTCGAAAAGCCCGTCCAGCGATAAGACTCTCAAATCTCCCATCCAAGAACATCAAACGCTGGAAAAGCGCGATGAAAACCACCAGCAGAGTGGTAAGCAGTCACTCTATAACATGTGCTTCTTTCAAACGGTTAACAGAACTTCTGTTGTGCAGCAGCAGAACATCAACCTCATGAAATCCGATTCGATACGATCAACGCCGGACTGGGCTTGACGGAATGTAATTTGATGGAATCTCAGCTAGGGGAATCATACGAATTGGATGATAGTTCGTCCCCCCACACTCTCCTCTTCCTTCTCCTCCTCTTCATGGGCTTGTCCTGATGAGTCGTCTCTTCATCAAATCCGTTTCGTTTTTCCTATGTCGAAAAAAAAATCAGTTACAAGGTTCGTCAGGGCTGAGGATCAGGATTACCTATCTCAAATCTGAGCAAATCTTATTTGGTTGAAGTGAATTGTATCCCATCGAAAGAAATCGGGTTTATTCTTATGCGTGTTGTACAATTGGTAATTTTTATTTGCGCAATCATCCACATTTTCATATCATCTTTCAACTCGCCACAACATAAGTTCGCCTCTTCTTCCCCAGCGAGCCCATGAATTATGATGACCTGTTCTGATAGTTCAACAAATTCGGACCTTGTGGGTTAGTTTAGGTTAGCAATTAACTACGTTTTTGGCTGTTTAGGTGTCTAGAGGAACAGATAAACATGGCGCTACCATGGCTTGAACAGACGTTGTTTGTACAAAGACGGCATTGAGTGTAGAAAATACAAACTGAAAAAAAACGATGCAAACAAATGTCCTATCATGCTCGAATTCTTTTTTTTCTTCTTTTTTTTTCTTTCTTTGAGCAAAGAGGAATGAGTCCATGATGACGGACGGCAATCAATTGATGACTTGACCGATAGCTTCGAGTAATTTCCACACGCCCCACGCACCGGCATCAGGGACTTGAGAGTCTTGAAGCTTTTGACGATCGACGTATGAAGCTCGACCGGCCTTGGCGTCCAAGTAGATCGTATTTTCCGCCGACTCCTTGGCGGCCTCAATCGCCTTATCAAACTCCGTCGGAGTCAATGTGAACGTCAAGACGAATGCGGATAACGGGTCAATTAATGTTCGAGAGGGCGATCGGGCTCTCGTGTACTTATATAGCGTATTGAGCGCATACTATTGTTTCCAGAAAGTAAATAACACGTCAATTAATGATCACTTATACTCATACGTCCTTCAACTCACATCTAATGCGTCGGCCCAGGTTTGCGAACCAATACTCTTCGAAGGCTTGGCTTTACCAATTCCTAGCATAGTCTATCGCATCAACAAACTAATCAAATTTTCCCATTCAAGCAATTCACACACCTACTGCCAAAGCATTAAAATAGATACTATGAAGGATTGCAATCATAAATTAGTGTTTTTTTAAACATAAAAGGGGCCAATGAATAGGAGGTCGTATGATTTGGTTTGATTGAAACTTACCTGTACAATCCGCCAGAAGTCCCACCCATATCACGGTTAACGACTTCAGATATTTGAAGAAGATCAGAAATAAGGTTGGTCCCTTTGATTTTCTCTTGAGAGATGGCTGCAAGGATGCCCTCGGCGCCGCTTTTCAACGTTAAACCACAGTCACCATCCCCGGCGATGGTGTCGTACTTGGTGATCTCCGGCTCAGCTGAAATTAACGCTTGGCATGCAGACTGGACGGCTTTGATGAACAACGCCGGGTCGTTTACTAGATCAAGCGTATGAAGTTGTTCATAATTTCACCCGTATAAGCCTGATGCCTGTATACTTGAGATGGAAGGTGAAGAAGAAGGAAGGCTCACCAGAGACCGTCTCTTCACTCGGTTTCTGTTCGCCTCCAGCAGGCTCCTGCACCAGAGCTTTTGCATCTTTCTTTTCCACCTTGCTGAAGCTTGGCTGGCCAGCGTAGCCGGACTTCCAGCCAGGACAATCGGCAGGAGCATCGAAGAGATCCAACAGCATATTGGCACTGATAGACAGTGTTGGTTCACCAGCGATTTCAATCGTCACATCTTCATTTGCAGGCGGTAATAGAACCAATGAGATCGAGAATCCGGACATATCCAAAGAGGTCATCAATGTCCCAGATATGACTCTGTGATAAAACGAGCAGAAACACTTTGAGCTGAATTCTCTAGAGTTGAATAAAGTCTGAAAAAAATATTCACATACCTTTTGACTTGGAATCCTTTTTCGAGTAGCCAAGTGCCAGTTGACTTGACGATAGCGCACATCTCAAGTTCAGAAATCGAGCCCAAGTTATTGATCAGAAGGATCACATCATTAGACACTTCTTTGCTTGAAGAACCTTGGGTGCGAAAGGGGAGAAACGATCTGTCTTTGTCGGTTGTCGAAGTTAGAACGGGCATGAGGTCGGAGATCAATTGGCTGAGATTTGCAATCTTTTGACGTTTGTATCCCGGCTCATTCTATTCTTCGTGGGCTCTCTAGTCAATAACTAGTTGTTTTGTATACGATGATCTGTGGAAGACTGACGTGGATGCCCATTCCAATTTCGATCTCATCAGATCCTAGGTTGTCGTGCTCTTTGTTGGCCTGGGCGCCTGGGATCTGACAATGATCAAAGCCCGCCCCAATCGTAGCTGAATGGTCCGCAACAAACTGGGCTACGGCATGCACATGTGATAAGGGTGCTCTGCTCGATCATCATAGGTTGATTGCAGGTGAGGATGAGAGATCAAATTTTCCATGCAATTCTTTTCCTTGGAAAAAGAAAAAAAAATTGATAACATACCCTTGAGCAGCAAGAGCTCCGGCGATCTTATAAACCAAAACGGTCCCAGCGAGCCCTCTACGCCCTGCTAGTTTGCCCTGCTCTTTACCGACCGATACATCTGGGGAAGAAAAGTGACCACACAAAGAGTTAGTTACTTTTGCTTATAAAAAATTGGAAAGAAAACTTTGAATTGGGTTTATGTAGAAAAATATCATCCAACCATCTCCTACAACTACCATCTTGATCGCATCGGTATTCCGTCGCGCGGTCCAGCGTTCCTTGGCTATCCCGAAATTCAAAACCTGCTTGTTTCAAAAATTGTTCAGAGAAAGCGAAAACAAATTCAGTGACATACTCAAACATCATCTCAGCTTGTAGATTCCCTCGAGATAAGGATGGTTATTCTTTATGTTATGCCATTCATAAAACGGAAAAAAGTAAACTAAATAGACTAAGTTCCAAATCAAACTTGAAATAAATCAAACGCACATCACCGGTATAGTTCATTACTACGATAAGAATGCTGGGGTCAAAGTGAACTTGTCAGCTGGCCTCGTATTGAATTTGGCCTTCTTTAGGAAAGCTTGGACGGATCTCAGAGAAAAACAAAAATGAACAAACCCTTTGCCATTTTCAAGTTTCTCGAGGCCATTCGTTACTTGTTGACTGTTGGGTGAAGCAAAAATGTTTCCACAAACCGCAGCCGAGAGCATTCTGTTGGTAAGAAAAAACGAGGTACATCGAACTCAATCAGAAGCCCAGCTGCAAGAATCATTCCTTCAATAGGTTTTTTTTCTCCCTTGGAAATCTGATTTAGAATGTGAGTTTACCCTGAACCAACAAATCCAGCATGGCTTGGCTCATGACCACTTCCACCTCCACAGATCAGATGACAGCGGTCTTTCGAGAGCTCTTTCAAACTGATGACTGTATAGATCGACAAAGCCAAACGACAGGATCAGTATAAGAGTTTGGAAGACCCATTTCAAATCCTCTTCAGACCCTAAGAGATCTGGTTGATCTCACTTTGGTAAGTTGGGTCATACTCTATCTGCGGGTTGAGGTAAGTTAGGCCCCCCAAGGAATCAATCACTAATTCTTTCGGATCGCACTCGAATTTTTTTTCTGTGTTCAAGATATGTAAATACATACCATGCATGAAAACATGTCAAAACATTCCGAATTCTTTCGTCAGTCTTGCGATTGGAAGCAGCTTTTCATGAGGAAGAAGAAAAGAGGAGAGGATCTGAAACTTAACTACCAGGCATCGTTATCCTTGCAGAAATCTTGAGATCGGATTCTATGGGCTTCTGATTTCCTGCTGAGAAGCTAGTCGCAATTGATGTAGCATGCAAGATCTCGATGTCGATCGGGCAAGGTGTTGGTTACAAAGTGAAAGGAAAGCTGGCTGACAGTGAAAACCAAGAAAATGGAATCCGAACTTCACCACTCGGCTTCACTCGGCAACCACCGGGTATGTATCATCGCTACACTTTGCCGATCATCAACCACCGGAAAACAAACTTACTATATTGGACAATCCTTCAGAAGCCAACTTCTCAACTGGTTCTAAAGGTGTAGTCAGAGGTTTTCTCAAAGGGTCTGAAGTGGGCTCCATTGGCAAGTTCTGAGGGACCAAACACCCATTTTCCTAGAAAGAAATAACAGCACTCCCTCAGAGCTTTATATGATTTCCTCATCAGGATTACCTTCAAACTGTTGAGAAAGTGGCCGAACAAATTTCTGGATTCCCAAAATAAAAAAAAAAACCCCTTTTTGAAGTGGAGTTGGCTTTGATGAATGTGCAGCTATTTCGGGAAGTCTTGTCCACTTGGACTTGCAATTTTTTTTTTTTGAAATTTTTCTTTGCACTGAACTACAGCCAAGGAGGTACAGCTGTCATCAGTAGTTCAGTTCTGACAGGTCCAGTTTAGTAAAAAAATAAAAAAATAAAAAAATAAAAAAGAATTTGTGAGTCCAAGTGGACAAGACTTCCCAAAATAGCTGTATAAACATTTCTGAACTTTGGGCCCAGAAATTCAAAAATGAAACTCATGAATGACCATTTATATTCCTTGGGGGACTGGTAATGCTCCTCACATTGATGTAAACATAAGTTTCTCTTTGAAAACAAAACAAAAACCCTGCTGCCTTCCGCATGCCCATCCAGCTTTCTTGCAGAATCTTTTAAAAATGTAGGTTATTCATTTAACCCCTTTTGGGGCCCATTGCTGCAAAATTTTTTTTTGGGAAAATTGACTGGTTTACAATGGCGGATTTCCTATATATGATACCCCCTACCCCCTAATGTTATGGTAACATCTATTTTCCATAAATCTTACCCATTTTCTTTTCTCAATATACTCTACAGGAATTATAACTTTATTGTGTCAATCAGTTTCCATAAAACCCACTCATTTGTGTCTTCTTTTGTCACACTCACTCAGCTTGAAACTTTTCTATTTACACACCTTTTCAAAAAGATGATGTTAACATGCTTGTTTTGCATGGGATTTTCAAACTTTCTAGTTTTTTTCTCCTAGGCTTTGGAGGGTTCAGAATTAAATAATAGCAAAAATTTTAAACCTCATTTAATTCCTCCTTATTTCCGCCATGATTTTGAATGATTTGTCTTTACACATGTGGATATCATGAAACTTATTCTTTTCAAATTTCTCTTTTTCATTCAAAATGGTGGATTATCTTCAGGGGATTGATAAATGTACCCCCCTTTTCTGCTATCCACACCCTGTTTTTAGCACCTGCTTTTCTGCATTTACACCCGGTTTTCCCCAGACTTTGTAATTCATTTTTTGGAAATTCTAAATATGCTAAAAATCTTCTAAAATTGACCATTGTTTTTGGGTATATAAAAAATCCTCAAAAGAGAAATTTTAATTTTAGTTTTTATTTTATTCATCAAGTTTTCTTTTCTGCTAATGAGTTTTTGAAACTTCATTAAAGTATATTTAAATTTATCATTGACTAGTATATGCTCCCAAATTTGGGGAGGCTGCTTGTTTTTGCCCCGGATGTTGGGTTTTACTCAATGACCTATGGGGTTTTCTTGAGTTGGACACCTGTCTGCCTTGGTCTAACGCCGGTGTTGACAAATCCAACAAATGTGAATTGGAGGTCAACACCGGTGTTAGATTGCATGACAGTTTGTTTGGCTCTCTAAGACTATTTTTTTAGTTATATGTAGATATTGCACAATCTTTAGGAAATGTGTAAAGAACCAAATTAGATTTCATTTTGGAAATTCCAATGTTGTTGGTTTTGAGTAATAAGCAAATGGACCAAATAAGGAATATGAATGGTACCATCTATATGGAGAAGAAAAATTGAAAAATTGACAATTAATAATAATTTTTCTAAAATTCATAGGGAGAAAAAAATTGGGAAAAAATGGGTGAGAAAAATAAAAAAAATGAAATGCTCTTTTGGGAATTTTTAACATGCCCAAAAAGAATTCTGGATTTTGGATGATTTTTAGCATATTTGGAATCCCCAAAAAATGAATTAAAAAGGCTGGGAAAAACCGGGTGTAGAAGCAGAAAAGCAGGTGTGAAAAACCAGGTGTGGATAGCAGAAAAGGGGGGTACGTTTATTAATCCCCTATCTTAAAATAAAATGAGCTTTTAATCAGTTTGAGGATTTATTTTTACACTTTGATTCAGTCACATTTTGAGACAAATGAGCCTGTATTTGTTTCCTGAGGCTTTAAATTAAAAATGATGTCTCAAATCCTTACTTGGTTTCTTTTATCAGTTGTCATAAAGGAATCTCAGAAGGTGTATGGTCTTTTGAGGTTGCTCCAGATTCTAGGCTATGTATCCAAACCACCTATTCCACGAAAAAATAGAATTTTTGGGCATAGTTTCTCTTCACGAAGGTACCATAGTGGACCTTAAGTCCTGGAGCCTCATCTTTCCCTCTTCTCAGCACGCCTCCTTTTATACTAATCAAATCCTAACTCCAAAACAACATTTCGTTGTTCCTGACCGACTCCTATTTCCTTTTCCCGACTCCTATTTCCTTTTCCATACCAGATTTCCTGCACACATCAGTTTCTCTCAATATCCCGAAATTGTTGATGCATACCTAAGTCACAACATTTCAACATTTCTATTCTTGTCCCTTGCATCACCATTCCTCTGCCATTTCCTGCCTGCCCCTGAGCCTCAATTTCTCCCTTTGCTATTCTCGTTCCTTTCTTCTCATCATTTTTGTTCCCTTCTTCCTTTTCCCTCTCCTATTCCTTCTTCATCTACTCTCCGACTTTCCTCTTCCATGTATAAACTCCGCCAGTTCCGGCAACAAACAACAAGTTTCCTCAGAACACCTCATCCCAAAACTCAACTCCGTCGATCTTCACTATGTAGCAACGTTTCCTCCTTCTAATTCCGTTACATCTACTCTGCTATTATTCTGCTCCACGCAGAACCACTTCCACTTCAGAGCACGAACTACAACCCTAAACAATCTAATCCTACTCTCCGACTTTCCTCTTGCATGCATAATCTCTGCCAGTAACCACTACAAATTAATAACAGGTTTACCAGAACACTCCATCCCAAAACTCAAATCCGTCGATCTTCAATCAGCATCAACGTTACCTGTCCCTAATTTTTTCCTAAAACCGTGCATACCATCCTATTACTTTTCTTTCCCTCTTCTACATCGGATTGGGGTTGAATGGGAAGGGAAATACCAGGTGGTACTCTCCAGCGATGAAAAGCAACGCTTTGGTGGACACAATTGTGTGGCTCTTCAGTCTGAGTATTTCACAACTAAGATTGACTGGGACAATCGGAAGAACTACGTGCAGGTTTATTTGCCTAGCCAAATGGTCAAGGTCATTGGATTAAAGGCCTGAAACCGATCCTCCATATTCACTCTTATACTGAGTCTTATCTCGGCCACATCGAGTCAGAGATTCAATCAAGAAAAAGTGGAAGATCTCAAGCTTTCAAGTTGTAGTTTTGTTGATGGACTTACTGATCGACATTGTCAAGTTGAGTCTCATTCGGTTTCAAAAAAAAGTCATACAGATACTAACCTTTTGTTTGAAGTATGATAAGTTATATCTGGATCGTCAAAATTTGGCAGGAGTATTAACAGGTCTTGTAGGTCTTTAAGAAACAAAAAATCAATGCCAATAGTGCTCCCCATCACCCCGACAACAGCAAGAATGGCAATGGCAACAAAAGCAACACCAACCAAAGCGAGGCCCCGTCCAGCCACCACCACCGACGACATCGTCGTTGTTGTTGGCAGTCATTCCTGAAGCGGCTCAAGATCCACCCAAGCTTGTCCACCCCTGACCGACCTCAGCATCATCTGTCGAAAGTCTTGTGTGTGACCTCGACTTGAATAGGGACCATGAGTCTAGCCTTCACCCTCCGAGTCTCACCACCAACATGAGCTTCTTCAGGAACAGCAGCCGCGCATCGTCCCTGATGATGCCGCGGTTTGAGCTGATGTGTCTAGGTCAGATCCGTCTCCTCCTTCCTCATCTCAGCTCAAAAATCACACGGAAATTCCTTCTCATGATCATGAAGATCATCCTTAATTCCATTCCCTTTTTTTCTCATCTTTTTTTTATTATAATCCTATTTGACTTTAACTACCTCAACTTTTTCCTTCCTCTTTTTTCACTTTGGTTGTTTTCATGTGTTTCTTTTTATTTTGAAAATACAATGAAAAAAAG